TCGACATAAAAGTTTATGCTGATCAAGAATATGTGTACTTTGTGGGGTCTAAAATGTATATTTCGAGGTGTTACAAACAGAATGACATACTTATTATACCCTACAAACTATGGTGGAGGGTATAAAATTATGGCATTTGTCTTTTTTTATCTCACCCTGTACATGTACCGGTACCGTTATTTTGGTCCTGAATTTTGCCCGAATTGATTTTATTAGCTTTGTTTCCATGCGTGAAAAATGATCAACTTTTGCAATCTTTTTGCTTTACAATTTTTACTCCAACCATATTCCCGGTCACATGTCACGGAAATATGGTTTCCCGGAACAGCAATTATTTCACAATTTCCCTCGAATCCATTTCTAGACCACACTTTTTTCGTGCTTTTCAACTAATGGAGTTACGACATTTCATTCTATTATCCACGAAATACCCACACTATTTTATAGATATACTACTTAAAACAAAAAAGTTTTGCAATGAGTTTAAATATTTTTAATGAAATGTGGGTTCTAAGCACGGCATCAAGATATCAAATATAAAATACAATAAACGTAGGTATTTGGGATTCCCAGAAGTATTGTTAATATGTATTTACCAAAAATTAAATAATAATTTACAAAAAGTACAAATGACCTTCAAGTTAAAATAAATAAAAAAAACTACACAAGCTATGTATTTTCAAAATTAAATGCAACACACGCATACAGCATGATCAAATAAAAACAACAAAAATTAGTCACCTTTGTAATCTGACAGCACAAAAAAAAACAGCTTGAATGTAAGTCATGTTTTGTCAGTCAGTCATCTAATCAATTCCCAATTAGAAATTGTCAAATTTCTGCTCTCTCTCTCCCTCATGCCACTTGACAAAAATCTCTAATCTATCTGGTACTATGTACGTGTGAATCTGTGCCAATTAGATTTATTTTTGTCGTGAATTTGTTTATAAAAATAAACAATTTTCAATGTTGAACTACCAAGCGATAGATAGTATATAACTACATACATACAAACAAATGTTTATATGTACCTAGTTTGTAAACTAACCGGCTAGCAACAAATAATACAGATGATGCACTGATAGTCTTCATTGAAGACTCTTCAATGAGACCACCCGTCCACATGTTCAATCATCCATCCCGTGCTCTCCCATTCAATTTTATTTTCATCTTTCCTTCATTGTTTTATATTTTTTGTTTAATCGTATGGTTGTTGTTGTGCGTCTGCTTACTGCTCACAAATGTACACATCTCTCGATCTTTCTTTGCTCCCAACCCTGACCTTAGCCAATATAGCATGCATAGAGGCTATGCGCGTTGATGAGGTAGTCGGTATTATTATTTTTATTTAATGCCTATTGGATCTCAATCTCAAATTCTCTTTATGAGAGATGTAAGAGACAATTAAAAGTGTTGATCATTTTTCTCTTTACAAATACTTTTGTTTATTTCTGTCCCAACACTACCCACTACCAGATGGCGCTGCAAATTTAACGGGTGATTCATGTAAACAGAGGAAGTTAAACTGTTTTATTTGAATCACGCTGTTATAAATGGAAATTCTAAATAATTTCATTGCAAAGAAGAGGGAAAATAACAATTGTAGTTGAAAAAAAAAATATGATTAAAAAGCAAGTTTAGTGCAACTTAAGCGGAAGTCGAAGAAAAATAAAATATTTCGTACCTATATTTGGAAATCTAATGTTCATAAATATGCATATAAGTATTTGGAGCTGTATTTTACTAAGGAAATTCTCCACTAGTAAGATATAGCTCAAAATGCTTACATGCATATTAATTTCCAAAATAAAAAAAATCATATTCTTTTTTATATTTGTATTTGAGTTATATTTTAATTTGAAGTATGGATGTGATCGTCTAAAGGAGTAATCTGGCCATAAAGTATGAAAAATTAACTTTTATTTAAAACAAGATAAAAAGTATCAATTGGTTCTGCCGACTTACTAATACCCTCAGCCATTGTTCGATTATTTAAATATATTTTGACTTCTGTTATGATTATTCAAACTTTTGACCCTCTATGGGCAAATATTGTCTACTTCGTATCGGACCTAAATAAATACGATATAAATATTAACTTTACTTGACACATGTGATAATTTTTTGAAAATGTTAACATGTGCGTGAGGTACCAGGTATAGTCGATCAAACTATTCCATTTTCATGCTTCATCGAATACATATAAAAATGTTTGTATTGGCAAAGTTACAAGAAAATCAAAAATTTATATCCAATTTATGTGAAATCAAAAATTCCATATTCATCTCAGGTTTCTGAGTTGTTGATCCGCAAGTTAAAACAGATAAAATTACTGAAAATTGTGACTTTTTGTGGGAAAGGTACCAGAAGGGGTCCGCAGATATATATCATCTTCACAAACGGATCTTGTGTTTGCCAAAATGTTTGTATGTGTGAAATTTGAGGATAGTTGGATGCTTATTTCAATTTCTTTGAGAGTTTTGTTTTTAAATCTTGAACACTATATGGTCCGATCCGAGAAGGAATGGTCCGATCTCTACAATCTTTATAACAAATCTTGTGTTGATGGAAATATGGAGATGTACCAAGTCTAGAATGGAATTGAATGTTAATTTAGCTTTTTCTGAGCTTCATGGATATTCAAAATGTTGAACCTTTGTGGAGGAGGTACCGGAAGGAGTTGACCGATATATCCCATTTTCACAATAGATCTTGTGTAAGTAGAAATAATGGGATGTGTGAAATATAAATAGAACCTGATGCTTATTTCGCGTTTTATGACCTTCATGGATATTTAAAATTTTGACCCTTTATAGGGGTGGTACCAGAAGGAATGGTACCATCTCTACCGTTTTTATAACTGTGTTGATTGAAATATTCAGGTGAATCTAAATGAATTCGGATGTTAATTCCGCGTTTTATGAGCATAATGGATATTCAAAATTTCGACCTTTTTATGAGGGAGGTACCAGAAGGAGTGGACCGATATATTCCATCTTAGCACCAGACCTTGGGCTTATAAAAGTATTATTCAAAACTTTGACCATTTGTGGGGGAAGCACTTGATGGAATGGACCGATGTAAATTTTCCGACCGATTTTAAATTTTCGCGCCGGACCGAGAACTGAGGCAAATATAAGGATTTGCAAAGTTGGAGAAAATCGGCAGAAAATATATATTATTTTTTAAATTTCGACCTTTTGTAAGGGTAGGTACCAGAAGGAGTGGACCGATATATTCTATCTCAGCACCATACCTTGGGTTAATAAAAATATTGTGATATGTGTAATTTGAAGATAACCGGACAGTTACATCACATTTTATAAGAGTTGTTATTATTCAATATTTTGACCTTTGTGGGGGGGGGGGGGGGGGGGGGGGGGGATGTACTTGATGGAGTGGACCGATATTCTCCATTTTCGCACCTGACCTAGCACTAACGCAGATATTAGGATTTGCAAAATTGGATCAAAATCGGATTATCGTTTCTCTTTCTCTGCAGAAAATATATTTTTTTGGAAAATTTCGACCTTTTGTGGGGTAGTTACCAGAAGGAGTAGACCGATGTTTTCCATCTTAACACCAGACCTTGGGTTAATAAAAATATTGGGATGTGTGAAATTTGAAGATAATTGGACATTTTATAAGAGTTGTAATTATTCAAAATTTTGAACCTTTGTGGGGGAGGTACTTGATGGAGTGGACCGATTTTGTCCATTTACGCAGCTGACCTGACAGAAAATATTTTTTTTTTTTGGAAATTTCGACCTTTTGTGGAGGAGGTACCAGAAGGAGTGGGCCGATATTGCTCATCTCCGAACTCTATCTAAGTTTGACAAAAATAGTACAAAGTTTGGACCAAATCGGCTGCTTCCCTCGAGAGTTATCGTGCGCACCAGCCAGACAGACGGACATCACTAGATCGACTCCAAATGTCCTGAAACGGATTTTGTCCAAAGAGACCTAAATTTTGACCTAGACTTGGCACGTTTTGACCGTATCAAATGATATATACCCTCTCTAGCCATATGGCTGAGGGTATAAAAATAAAGATTCAGATAATTCGATTTCGGTCAAAATAATCTATTTGAAACAATTTGATTTTTTTTAAATCTCCCTCATGTTTGACTACAACCAGGCGCCATGCCACATTTTCCTTTTTACAATATCGCGACAATTCAATATTGAAATAAATACCTCAAATTTTTCCATACAAATACCATCTTCATTGTAGACACACTTTTTAGGATATTAAGGATATTGTCGCGTCAATACAATTTCAATTTTCCATATTTTTCCTCTTTTGGGAAAGTTCACGTGTATTTTCCTCGGAATTCGTTACGTATCATTTCATAAGTTCAAGAACTTCCCCGCGCACGCATTCCGCAACGATGGCGCCAACAAACAACACGGCTAATTATTATAAATGATGACATAAAATGACACCTAAACGGTCGGCCCGGCATTACAACTAAACATTTACATTTACAACAACATTTCCATGTCTGCGGTCCCCTTTGTCAGAGCTGCTGGAAAAAGAGAGCGACAGCACCCTCCATTCGTTTAATGTGTGTAGGTTTTTCTTGTTGTTGTTATTGTATCGGAGGCCAAAAGATGAAAGCAATTTGTGTCATACACAAATCCCATGATCATAAAGATATTATTTACCAACAACAACAACAATGTTTTGATTAATAAAGTAATTTGAGTTTAATCTGCAATTTAAGCAACAGCAAAATGTTCTAGTTTTGTAGTCGATTTTCACAAGGGGGAGGAAGGTTGGTTGCTTGAATTCGTAGAAGAAAATTGTTTCAGATTTATATTTGAAAATATTTTATATTGCATCAAAATTAATTTATGACTTTCTGCACCACATCCATCTCACTCAGTTGAGTTTGCCACTGACTGGAGGAGTCTCTTTCACCATGCCAAGTTGTTCTTATGTTGTGTTCGTCATTTATCCAGCACGAAAAACTATCTTGTGTTCTCCTTCTTTTTAGAGGATGTTTGACGGCAGTGCAAAGACATTGGAATGCTTCTCCTGCTAGACCAACTAATCGTTGTCTCTTAGGCGAGCAGTGTGTCTTCATAATTTTGGAGAAAAGGAATGCATTTTGGCGTGACAGAAACAATATTACGGCGGTAAGTAAAACCAGCATTATTTAATTATTCACTGATTTATCAACTCCAAAACGAGACTACTGAAACTAGAATCTAAAATTGTTGTATCTGGGTAACGTTTAGCGCAAAGAGATTTGATTTGAGAGGATTTTTGGGAAAAAGCAAAGGTACGGAATGCAGTGCAACTGGTATTTAGAGATAAAAAACTAGGAGTTTATATTTCCTTAGAAAGGTACTAAAAATCTCACCATATTTAACCTTTTGGATCGATCGGGAGTGGCTAAATCCCCCTTTATGGCTACAGGGGAATATACAGGGTGAGATGAAAAAACTGCAACCAACTTAAGACTGCTGTCTTTTCAAAGCCACTCGTCCAACAGCTGTTAAAATTATTCCAGTGACAGCTCATTACATTATTTAAAATCGTACAAAAGCATTTTGGTGAGAATGTTCCAGAAAAAAAGTTTTTCTCAGAAAAGAGCAGAAGGTCTTCTCATAGAAGACCAGAAGAAGGGTTTCTCATAGATGGAATTCAAGCGTGATAGTGTGATTTCTTTATATTTGGCTGTAAAACCACAAGTGGCTATCGTTAGAGCACTCCAGCATTTCAATGTGAGTAAATATTTTATGTTTCGTATCATCGCTCGTTACCGTGATACTGGTGAGCTCGGGGTAAAGTCATTGAAATTCCAAAAAGTGTAAGAACTTACACCGCAACTGAAAGAAAATAGACTCAAAAGAGCTAAAGAATTGGTTCGCTTGGCCGAAAGTGGTGAACTGCCGAATTTGGTTTTCTCTCTCTCCGATGAGAAAACATTCGTTGTCCAGCAGTTTCTAAACAAACAAAATGAACGTGTTTACTTGCCAAAGAGGTCAGCTGAAAATATGCACCTTCGGTTGGCCACCAGAACTCAAGCGCCGACCATGGTGATGGTGTGGGCCTCCATAAAAGCCGAAGGTCGCTCTCCGCTCGTATTAATCGACCGTGGCATCAAAATAAATGCCGAATATTATCGCAAAAATATTCTGGATGGTGTATTAAAGCCTTGGCCACGCAAACATTTTGACCGCAGACCTTGGACATTCCAACAGGACTCAGCACCATTGCACTTAGCACGCGCCACCCAAGAATGGTTACAAAATGAGGTTACTCGCTTCATTTTCAGCGCACAACGGCCACTATTGTGTCTGGAGTATTTTGAAAAGCAAGGTTGGCACTAAAAAATACCAAAGCGCTTCGTCGGGAATGGACCAAAATACCGCAGAGCAACATTCGAGCAGCGTGTGACGGTTTCATTGGCCGTTTGAAGTTTGAAGGCCTTAATTCGTGCCAAAGGTGACCAACTCGAACAAATCTAAACTTATTCTAAAATTTGATGCTATTTCCGATATTTTTATACCCTCCACCTTGGAAAGGAGGGTATATTAACTTTGTCATTCCGTTTGTAACATCCTTAAATATTCGTCGTAGACCCCATAAAGTATATATATTCATAATCAGCATAAAATTCTAAGTCGATTTAACGATGTCCGTCTGTCTGTCTGTCTGTCTGTTGAAATCACGATACAGCCCACATTATTTGACGTAGAGCGCCAAAATTTAGCAGAGCAATTGGTATTGTGTCTAGGATGGTTGGTATTGAAAATGAGATATATCGGTCCACGTTCTGGTATAGTCCCCATATAACGGTACCTCCCGATATTCGGTATTTTGATGATTTATGCCACATTATTTAACGGATTTGTCTGAAAATTGGTATTTGTAGGTCATAACGGGTCCCTGTACGTGTGGCGAAACATTGTATGTATAGGTTCACGTTTTGGTATAGTCCCCATATAACGGTACCTCCCAATATTCGGTATTTTGATGATTTTTGACTGATTTTTTCACGAATTTCATTGAAAATTTGGTAGTTGTAGATCATAATGGGTCCCAGTTCGTGTGGCGAGTCATTGTAATTATAGGTCCACGTTTTGGTATAGCCCCCATATAACGGTACCTCCCGATATTCGGTAATTTGATGATTTTTGCCACATTTTTTTCACGTATTTGTCTGAAAATTGGTATTTGAAGGTCATAATGGGTTCTAGCTCCGTTGGCGGAACCTTGCATGTGTAGGTCCACGATTTGGTAGAGCCCCCATATAACGGTACCTCCCGATATTCGGCATTTTAATGGTTTTTGCCACATTTCTTCTAATGTTTCCATTACCCTAAGGTGGAGGGTATTAAAAGTTTGGCCCGGCCGAACTTAATGTTTTTTTACTTGTTTACTTTCAATCAATAAAATCTAAAAAAAATTTAAACATTATGGCGTTTGACTTTGTTGCAGTTTTTTTTTATCTCACTCTGTATATCGTTTAATATTGCCAAAACATGTCTCATCCAGACAACAGGTTTAGACCCTAGAACCAAATCCGTTTCAGACCATTTGGAGTCGAACTAGGGGTGTCCGGCCGTCCGCCCGCACAATAACTATCGAAGGAAATGTTCGATTTGTTCAAAACTTATCCAATCTTTTGCAAACTATGCTAATCCTAATATTTTTATCAGTACTAGGTAAGGTGCGGAAATGGACAGTATCGGCACACTCCATCAAGTACCTCCCCCACAAAAGGTCAACGTTTTAACTAATTATAACGCTTATAAAAAGTAACACAAGAGTCAAATTATCTTCAATATTCATACCTATCACATTTCTATTTAAGCAAGATCTGGTTTTTAGATGTCAGATATCAACAATTTGAATAACCAAAACCCTTATAAAATGGAAAATACGCTTCCAATTCTTTTCAAATTTCTTACAGACCAATATTTTTATTAACACAAGATGAACGGATATAATGGACCACTACCTTCCCCACAAAATATACAAATTTAGAATAACCATGAAGCTCATAAAACGCGAAATTAGCATCCGATCACTTTCAAACTCGGCACATCTCAATATTTTCAATAACACACTGTGAAAATGGAATATATCGAACCCCTCCTACTCTACGAATCAAAATTTTAAGTAATTATGACTCTCATAAAATCCGAAATAACATCCGGTTCTCTTCAAATTTCACGCATACGAATAGTTCAGGAGAAACCAGATGATATGTATGCCATCCAGAAACCGGATAATTTGGTCAATGAATTTTTCTTAATTTTTAATAATGGAAATGTTTTCTTTAAATAATTTTAATTAATAAATTACAAAAAATAAATAAAAACACTGTCAAAGGTAAAAATTAGGTGTTCCCCATTGTGATTGCCCAAACACTATACTTCCACATTTCATCACACTCCGAAAGAACACCCTATTCATAGTACATATTCATCCAAAAAAGACACAAATCACACCCCTTACAATAGCACACTTTTAATAGTCATCGTTTTATGTTTTTTTTTTTCTATTCCTTCTATGTTTTTTTTATGGTTCCGTCTGTCTACAAAATCTCGAACCGGTGCATTGTCACAGAATACTCGTATTCTTATATATGTAAATCGTTCCCGATGTTGACATTAATCATAATTCTGTTACATCTAATTTATTACACATTTGAGATGATTGTGTTATGAGTTTTGTTTGGCATTAGATTCACATATTTAAATCCACAAATAAAAAAAGTGTAATTAAATATGAAACAGATGTCGGCGTAGACATTTAACACCTTAAAGGGGGATTGGAAGAGGTTGTAAAGCATTTTTTATTTAAAAATTGTTTTTTCAATAAAATTTATTATTATTTGCCCATGGTTATAATTATGTATCAGGAGGAGAAAATCTATCCAAAATTACTTAAATTTAAAAATTCAGTATCTTCACATCCTTTCGAAATTAGAATAGAACCACATGGACCACATCACTCCTACGTTTTACACTATGTTGGCCCATATATATCATTTGATACAGCCAAAACGTGCTCATCAAAATAACGGTTTAAGACCGTAGGTCACAGTAGACCAAATCCGTTTCAGCACATTTGGAGTCGATCTAGCGTTTTCCGTCCGTCTGTCTGTATACTGGCTGGTGCGCACGATAACACTCGAAGAGAGTATCCGATTTGGTTCAAACTTGGTACATCGTAATGTTATTATCAAACTTAGATTGCGTTCGGAGAAGGGCAATATACCCCCCCCCCTTTAACGACTAAATGCCAACATTTTCAAAAAAAAAAAAAAAAAACAGAGAAGAAAGTCCTAGAGTCGGGCGGGTCCGACTTTATGATACCCTGCACCACTTTGCTAATTTAGTAGAGCACCACATAACAATTAAAAGTTTTTATGGGAGAATTCAATCATACACGCTATGAATATAAATATAATTTAAAGTTCAAAGGACTAAATATGCCGAAGCATTTGTATCTTTTAAATTCGGACTTGTATTACCCATATGGTGCAAAATTAATTTAAAATCGGATAAAGATATATGTGGGAGCTATATCCAAATCTGAACCGATCTCGATAAAACTTGGCAAGTATATTTTTGAACTGTATTTGATATATTTCCGAAATATTGTTGTTACGGAGTGCATATTACGGCTGTGGAGGGCAAAAATAACAAATCGGATGAAACAATATATATGGTGAGCTATAGCTATATCTGAACCGATCTTCACCAAATTTGACATACTAGCTTCTACATTCAATTCGGTTGTAAGTGCCAAATTTCATCCCATTTGGGCAAATATTAGACGTTTGGTGCACAATAAAAGGTAAATCGGACGAAGTTATATATGGGAGCTATATCCAAATCTGAACCGATCACGATAAAATTTAGCAAAGGTATTTCTGAGCTGTATTTGATATATTTCCCCGAATATTTTTGTTACAGTGTGCATATTACGGGCTGCGGAGGACAAAATAACAAATCGGATGACAAATATGTATGGGAGCTATAGCTATATCTGAACCAATTTCGATCAAATTTGGCATATTTATTTTCAGGCCTAATTTGGTAGTATGTGAAAAATTTCATTCTATTCGGGCAGATATTACACGTTTGGTGCACAATAAAAGGCAAATCGGACGAAGATATATGTGGGAGCTATATCTAAATTTTGACCGATTATCTCCAATTTCAATAGGGTTCGTCCTTGGGCCAAACAAATGATTTGTGCAAAATTTCATCCAGATCGGGCAATAAATGGGAACTGTACTTTGTTTACAAAAATACATGGGCAGACGGACCACATGACCACCTTGTGGCGTAGGGTATAATTTTTTTTCTGCACAGAAACAGAAAGAATAATTCGATTTTGCTCCAACTTTGCAAATCCGAACATTTGCATCAGGGCTAAATCTGGTGAGAAAATGGACAATACCGGTCCACTCCACAGTACCTCACCCACAAAGAGTCAACATTTTGAATAATTATAACTCCTATAAAATATGATATAAGAGTCCGATTGTCTTCAAATTACACACATAACAATGTTTTTGTTAACCCACGGCCTGGTGTGAAGCTGGAATATATATTCCCTATGAACCCTATTCAAGATTTTTAAAACAAAACGCTTAAATAAAACATAATAAGCATCAAACTATTTTCAAAATTTCACACATACAAACATTTTTACTAACACCAGATCTGCTGTGAAAATTATATGCCCCTTCTGGTACCTCACCCACAAAGGGTCAAATTTTCAATACTCGTATTAAGTGAAGGAAGTAACCAATATAGTCCGAACATAATACAACACAAAATTTATATCATATTTATTTAATTCCGATACGAAATGGGCCATTTTGGTCCATTCCTTCAGAACCTACTCCATTGAGGGTCAACAATTTGAATAATCTTAACAGAAGTCAAAATATATTTAAATAATCGTACATTCGTTGAGGGTATACATCTGTCGGCAAAACCGACTGATATTTTTTGATTCCTTATCTTTAATATGTTTATTATGTAATTTCAGATAGAAATATTGTCGACCACACAAATTTGGGAACACGGACAGAAAATTGAATTATAAACTATCATACGGAGACTAAACCGGAACGAAGACTTAAATTTCCCATTTTCTATGCGATATATCCTAGTAGTACTCTTAAGCCCTTTTTCATGTTTTTGGACTGATACTCATTTAAGGGTTTGCTCTATTGTCCGTCCAAGTTCGTATTTTCTCCCACAGATTCTTCTCTTTCTATACCAAGAACCGGTGATGTTTAGGAGTTATGTTCGCAATAGTTGTATTATACAAAGTATGTGTCTTCCGATCATGCCGATCATGTTATTTCAACAATTATATATTACTATTTTCATTAACATCTAAATTTTCATTTAAAACGTTCTAATCATTTGATATCAACAATTGAAATTTTATTCAAATCAACATTCAAATAATTTATATACTCCGAATCAACACATGTTCCCTTACCACCATTACAAGTGCTCAAACATCTGTAGTGTTACTGTGTGAATGTGTGTGTTTGCATGAAGTACAACAAGTACTGCGCGTCGTCAGCCATTCTTGGAAATTAATTAAAACATATGCTCATCACTTTTGGCCATAAATCTGCCAACACCAATTATCACTTGTAATCTGTCCGTAAAAGTGTTTGATTTCAAATTGCCAATGGCAAAACGAAGAAGAGCGGTAGGCAATTGCGGATAAATGTCACAAAACAAAATCAGAAAAGGGCTGATGGTTCTGTTGACGTCGTTGTCGAATTCATGCACCAATGCCATGAAGTTAATGAAGGGCGAAGTTTTCGCCTCAGACATTTAGAGAATTTCTGTGGTCTCGCAATGTTTTTGTAATATCTTTGTTTTGTAAGGTATTTGATATCTGTTGTGTGAGCTACAGCGGTGAGGGTATGTGCGGTTTTCATAGCAGTTGGTTATTTGGGTAAAAATGAATTAATGTTTCCTCAAAATAACTATTTCAGGCCTTCAATCGAATTTGCTGTCAATTGGCAAAACTGTCCATATAGGTCCAAGTTAAAAATATCGGTCGGTTTTGCTGACAGATGTATACCCTCGGTCAATATTCGATTATTTAAATGTAGTTAGACATCTGTTATGATTATTCAAATTGTTGACTCTCTATGGAGTATGTTCCGAAACATTGGGACGTGCCAGGTTTAGACTATATTGGTTACTTCCTTCACTTTATTCACTTTCCTGGGGGAGGTACCAGAAGAGTCCGATCTCTACCATATTTATAACAGATTTGGTGTAGATGGAAATATTCAAACATCGAATGTTAATTTCGCGTTTTATAAGCTTCGTGGATATTCAAAATGTTGACTCTTCGTGGGGGAGGCAACAGAAGGAGTGGACCGATATATTCAGACCTTGGGTAATAAAAATATTGAGATGTGTATAATTTGAAGACAATCCGACCAATTTGAAGACAATCACATTTTATAAGCGATATAATTATTCAAAAGTGGAGTGGACCGATATTATACATTTTTGCACCTGACCAATCACCAATATAAATAGTAGGATTTGAAAAGTTGGAGAAAAGTCGGATTATTCTTTCTTTCTCTGTGCAGTAAAATATTTTCTTTGAAAATTTTGACATTTTGTGATAATAATTATAATTTAAAGTTCAAAGGACTAAATATGCCGAAGCATTTGTATCTTTTAAATTCGGACTTGTATGGGTCATTTGATGCAAAATTAATTTGAAATCAGATAAAGATATATAAGGGAGCTATATCCAAATCTGAACCGATCTCGATAAAATTTGGCAAAGATATTTCTGAGCTGTATTTGATATATTTCCCTGAATATCGTTGTTACGGAGTGCATATTACGGCTGTGGGTAACAAATACAACAAATCGGATGAACAGTATATATGGGAGCTATAGCTATATCTGAACCGATCTTCACCAAATTTGACATACTAGCTTCTAGACTCAATTCGGTCGTATGCGCCAAATTCCATCCCATTTGGGCAAA